GCTCCCTTTGCCACTTCCCAGGGCTGAGTGTCTGAAATGACGATAAAACTCTGAGAGGCAGACAGCCTGTAATTTCAGCAGCGAGTACTCCGCCAAGGTATAATGGAAAAGCTGTGGAAGCCATGAAATGTGCTGCGTCTTGATGTTCGAACACTATTGTCCAAAACTCAGGACACCTTTCTAAACTTTAAATTACTGTGTTTAAACTGTCATTGTCTGAGAGGCCTTTCTCTAAAAGCGTACAGTCCCTTTCCATAGCTTCAACCCCTAGTGCAGACACATACTGTTGTCCAAAGTATTCGTGAAACAATGAACGGGTTGTCCACGGAAACACCAACATGGAAAGTGTTAGTGATTACTGTTCATTTCTACAGATGTAGAACAGTGAGGACGCTGGGATGTCTCTCAGTCTTTGCACATGTCTGTTTCTCTCTATCAAATCCTGTGATGGGATGTGTTAGGGAACAAGTCATTTGTTCCACTCAGAGAGGAAAAAGAAGAGAGGGTTTCTGTAGAGGCGAGGTGGAAAGAGGTGCAAGAAGCCCGTCTCATGTTCGCAACATTTCACATTGAGAGCCTCTCTGGGTGATTTGATAGGGGGCGGAACGAGATGGAGCCAGAGTAATGAAGGGAGAGTGGGTTTGCTCGTGGCCTATTCTGTGCATCCAGGCTGCAGAGAGTGTTACGTCATCATTTCCTCCAGAAAAATCCTCAGCCTCTGCACTTCTCAGTGAGATACGGAGGATAGAGGATAATAAGCATAGGACTGTTGTTATCCTACATTCTTTCATAATACTTTTAACAGGGATATGTGATGCGTTCCAATGTACCTCAACTACCATAAAACGTCAATTAATAGCCCAGGCATTTATTTGCTTAAATCACTGAACACAACATGTACTTATTAGACAGGCTTCTATTTGAGCCTGGCATCCTCCTTAATGCACACAGCTTTTGCTCATTTGCATAGTTCATTGTTTAATTCCAGCTTTTTTATCAATTCCGTTCATATCCTGCACTAATGTGTTATCATTTACATACCGTGTCACATTTATTTTGTGTTAGTATGCCTCTATAATAATAATAAAACAATTATTGACAGAATAATTATTCTCCTCTTTGACTATGCAATTTTTGTCCAATTTCTGGAGGTCTGTACTCCCAAAGTTGTTGACTGTTTTTGTGCTTGCCAGTTAGCTAGCAGTTCTCAGCTGTTAGCAGCCAATGGCTAGCAGTTTCTTATTGGCGGATGATTGCCATTATTTTTCAGAGTCATTACTGAATTATTTACATTAAGCCTCATAAACAATTGATGGTAACCTCGTAAACAATTATCTTAGATCCAGCGTTTATTTGAAACATGCTTTTATTTTCTGAAATATGTGCCGTTGCCCGGCTATTAAAAGGGACAGGTGGCTATTTGAGACTTGGCGTTTAATTGAAGTTTTACGGTATCTCAATTCCCCAAAGCGTCTCAACTTCTGCCTATGATTCCTCATCTACCAATCAACAGTAAACAGTATGCTGAAAAGCTTTATTATGCTGCAAGACTGTTTGCAGCAAGGCATGTTTACTTAGGGCTACATAACCGGAAGCATTACCTTTGACCTTCAGGCAGAAAGGCGTTGGGGCAGAATGAATAAGTCATGGTTGAAGAGGAAGGGCACGAGTGCGAGTGAATCACTCCATCTTAGTGGGCATCAGTGATGTGGAAAGAGAGAACAACTGTGCACACGCTACTTAAATAAACCTACTTAACGGGATTAGTGATCCCACCCTGCAGGGATAAACACATTTAAACTTCTATCATAAACATACAAACAAAACCATTATTTTTGATCAGCTTTCTCAGTTAAGAACCAAGTTGGGTAACACTTGAGATGGCCATGATAAGCACGTAGCTGGCAGAAAAGTAGCTTTGCAAAATAAATGTACACATACATGTTATTCAATCATTTCTTCCACACTGCTTGCACGCGTCAATGAGCGTCTGCATTGCCGACACGCTGCAAGTCCCACCTCTTCCATCTCGTTATTGGTTTTCACAAAGATACAAACCCACGTGGGTGCTTGAAAGATGAATGAGAGATGAATCAAAGATAACTAACTAAAGACTAACTAGATTTCCCTTTTTATCAGTGGATTAATCGTTGGAGTAGAGAAACACACGATTTTGTATGACCCTGTGTCAAAATTCTGCAAAGAACCAGCTAAAAAGAGAACCATATGCATGTCAGGTAAAATAACAACCCAATGATCATCTCCCAGGACAAACTTCTGTCAACAGCTATCTAGCTAAATGTCCATGAATGTGTGTTTCGACCAGCCCCTAAATTAATATAATTGATTCACAGTTGTTTTTGGTATTTTAACCTGTGTGTCATGACCATGTTTGGTGGGGATAGACGGAATGATCATGTGCACGATGACGTGCACGGACGCAAATGTGGGGCCGGTCATGGTGTAACAAATCCTGACATAGATATTCGCAGTGCTGTCTATCTGAACTGTTATTATGATGCATGACACCCACCCCCCCAAAAAAAATCTAATCAGTATTCTAACGTTATCACATTGGTTGCTATGCATGATACCTGTTGGCGTAAACCAGAACTGAATTTGTACACCATCCTCCATTTTAATTTCAGGCACAATTTCAGCTGTTTTGAGAAAAGTGGTGCCAAAATCCGAGCCGTCTCTCCCCTGATTAGTTTACAGTTGACCGATTCTATGGGAAGCTTAGTTCATTGATATCTGATTCTGAACTTCGATCCGATCGAGCGTTGTCGACAATGCAGGTTTTAAAGGCAATGTTTCCGTGTTTGTGGAAAGTGCATTCACGGTAAACACAGGATATGTGAGCTGAATGGGAAATTATCTATTAAAGCTGCATTGTCGACAATGCGTGATCAGATTGAATCACGGCCTTATTGTGCAGACCTGGGTTCAAATACTGTATTTGATTATTTGTTATATACAGTGCCTTCAGAAAGTATTCACACCCCTTGACTTTTTCCATATTTTGTTGTGTTACAGCCTGAATTTAAAATTGATTAAATTGAGATTTGCTGGGTCACTGGCCTACACACAATACCCAATAATGTCAAAGTGGAATAATGTATTTCAAATGTTTACAAATTAATAAAAAATGGAAATCTGAAATGTCTTGAGTCAATAAGTGTTCAACCCCTTTGTTATGGCAAGCCTAAATAAGTTCAGGAGTAAAAATTAGCTTAACAAGTCACATAATAAATTGCATGGACTCACTCTGTGTGCAAAAATAGTTTATCTGTAAGATCCCTCAGTCGAACAGTGAATTTCAAACACAGATTCAACCACAAAGACCAGGGAGGTTTTCCAATGCCTCACAAAGAAGGGCACCTATTGGTAGATGGGTAAAAAATTATAAAAAGCAGACATTTAATATCCCTTTGAGCATGGTAAAGTTATTAATTAAACTTTGGATGGTGTATCAACACACCCAGTCACTACAAAGATACAGGCGGCCTTCTTAACTCAGTTGCCGGAGAGGAAGGAAACTGCTCAGGGATTTCACCATGAGGCCAATGGTGACTTTAAAACAGTTACAGAGTTTAATGGCTGTGATACTAATCTAATTGACAGAGTGAAAAGAAGGAAGCCTGTACAGAAACAAAAATTCCAAAACATGCATCCTGTTTGCAACAACGCACTAAAGTAATACTGAAAAAAATGTGGCAAAGCAATTCATTTTTTGTCCTGAATACAAAGTGTTACTGAGTACCACTCTCCTTATTTTCAAGCATAGTGGTGGCTGCATCATGTTATGGCTATGGTTGTAATCGTTAAGGACTGGATAGTTTTTCAGGATACAAAATAAATGGAATGGCGCTAAGCACAGGCAAAATCCTAGAGGAAAACCTGGTTCAGTCTGCTTTCCATCAGACACTGGAAAATGAATTCACCTTTCAGCAGGACAATAACCTAAAACACAAGGCCAAATCTACACAGGACCTACTTATCAAGAAGACAGTGAATGTTCCTGAGTGTCCGAGTTACAGTTTTGACTTAAATCTGCTTGAAAATCTGTGGCAAGATTAGAAAATTGTTGTCTAGCTATGATCAACAACCAATTTGACAGAGCTTGAAGAATTTTGAAAAGAGTAGTGAGCAAATATTGTACAATTCAGGTGTGCAAACTCTTAGAGATTTACCCACAAATACTCACTGCCAAAGGTGATTCTAACATGTATTGACTCAGGGGTGTGAATACTTATGTAAGTGAGATATTTCTGTATTGAATTTTCAATAAATTTGCTAACATTTCTAAAATCATGTTTTCACTTTGTCATTATGGGATATTTTGTGTAGATGGGTGAAAAACAACAACAATTTAATCAATTTTGAATTCAGGCTGTAACACAACAAAATGGGGAATAAGTCGTTGGCTATGAATACTTTCCGAAGGCACTGTAAATACTTATTTTCTGTGTATTTGAGTATTTTCAAATAATGTGGCCCGAATCAACTACTTTCATTGGAATAATTTGAAAGTATACTTATTTCACCAAAAGAAATTTCAAATACCAAACAGACATTGGTTCAGATGCATGGGAGTTTGTATTTGTATTTCAAAATACACTGTGTATTTAAGTATATTCAAATACATGCCAACACTTTCCAAGTGTATTTCCAAATACATTCCAATATTCAACTACGTGTTTTCAAATAGAGAATATCAAAATACTTACTTCCAAATGTCTTTGAAAGTAATTGAAATACCTTAAATAGAATTTGAACCAGGTCTGATTATGTGTGCCAACAATGTGGAAGGCGGTGAGTGAAAACGTGACAACATTTATTAGACATTTTTATTTAGCTAATAGACATTTATTTAGCTAACATGCTCAAACTTACACGTAGTGAGCTTCTGTTGAACTATGAGCAATCCATTCATAGCAAAAAGTGCACTTCCAGTGTGTGTGCTGCTGATGTAGTCCATTGTGTTTGTTTGTGTACAGATCTAGACTGGCTGATTTCCACATGAACTGCATGGTGACTCAGCACACAGTCAGCAGCTGCCCAAATGAGGACAACTACCAGGCATGTCTGGCCTCCTACGCTGGCCTCATTGGTGAGTGCAGGGGATTTTGGGCTACCTACCCTGGTAAAACTTGACTTAAAGCCTGCAAGTATAATGCTTTATTAGTTGTTATACTGTATGTATAAGCTTTTATAATGGCTTATTTTAAGGCTTATATAATGTAATATCTCATTATGACAGGACACTTTTTATTACTGGCTCAATATGGCTGTTATTTTGTCAGGATCATTGGAGATGATAAGACATTTTAGGGTGTTAATACATGCTTATGACAAGTCTTATAATTCATTATAATGCACTATACCTGCAGACTTTAGGTTAAGTGATACCCATACCCCTCCTCTATTTCTTCCCCCAAACACATTTTACATCAGTGGCTGAGTGGAGGTGATGATGGGAGAGAGAGAGTGTTCACTTCGTTAAAACATTTAATTATCTGTTTACTTGTATAGTAAATGTTCTTCAAATAGAAAAAGGAAAATTTGCGCCGCAAAGATATCCTTCCATACCAGTAGACATTTGAAAGCACCTTAGTAATGTGTTGGCACTATTCAGTACAATGAAGGCGGTAGACAAAATTAGTTATTTTTGACTACTTTTATTGAACTTAAAATACTCTTTAGGGATGGCATAGCTTTCCCACTACCACCTGTCTGTAATTGAATTGTTGATAGTTACAATAAATGTGTCAGACATATCTCTAGTGTAAACTTACTCTTGTTAGTTGTTCTGGACTACACAGTATGATGTGTTTTCCACAAATAAAGCACTCCTCTCCTGAAAGCATCAACAGAACATCTGTTTTTGGTAATATCTTTCTAAACTAATATGACTAGCTAGCATACTACTGTTAGTTGCCCCCCCCCCCCAGCTCCATGGTACAATGTAGGCCCTGTCACCATTAGCAACATACTGTAAGCCTGTGTAGGTAGGTATACTGTTTATAGTAAATGTAGTCCATTATTATCCATTAGTGACCTGTGAATGATCTGTAACTGTAGCTTTATTCTCACATCTATAGGGACAGATATGACTCCAAATTACGTGGACGGCAGCTACACCAACTGGACTGTCTCCCCATGGTGCACCTGTAAAGGAAGTGGGAACCAGGAAGAGGAGTGTGAGAGCTTTCTGAGGGACTTCACAGAGAACACCTGCTTGAGTGAGTCCAGCTTGCCTTTAAAATCTATTTTGTAACACATACAAGACTACTTCAGATATGATTTTAAAGGCACCACCATTCGAATCTGTAGTGTGTTTCCCTCTAAACTGAAAGTGAACTGGCACATCTAACATATTTGAGGTTTTTTTAGGTACATTTGGGGTCTGTATATATATACAGTGCATTCGAAAAATATTCAGACCCCTTCCCTTTTTCCACATTTTGTTACGTTACAGCCTTATTCTAAAATGGATTAAATAAAAAGGGTTCCTCATCAATCAACACACAATTCCCATAATACATTTTGGCAAATGTATCAAAAAACTAAAACAGAAATACCTTATTTACATAAGTATTCAGACCCTTTGCTATGAGACTCAAAATTGAGCTCAGGTACATCCTGTTTCCATTGATCATCCTTGAGATGCTTCTACAACTTGATTGGACATCATTTGGAAAAGCACACACCTGTCTATATAAGGTCCCACAGTTGAAAGTGCATTTTAGAGCAAAAACCAAGCCATGAGGTCGAAGGAATTGTCCGTAGAGCTCCGAGACAGGATCGTGTCAAGGCACAGATCTGGGGAAGGATACCAAAACATTTCTTCAGCATTAAAGATCCCCAAGAACACAGTGGCCTCCATCATTCTTAAATGGAAGAATTTGGAACCACCAAGACTCTTCCTAGAGCTGGCCGCCCAGCCAAACTGAGCAATCAGGGGAGAAGGGCCTTGGTCAGGGAGGTGACCAAGAACCCAATGGTGACTCTGAAAGAGCTCCAGAGTTCCTCTGTGGAGATGGGAGAACCTTCCAGAAGGACAACCATCTCTGCAGCACTCCACCAATCAGGCCTTTGTGGTAGAGTGACCAGATGGAAGCCACTCCTCAGTAAAAGGCACATGACAGCCCTCTTGGTGTTTGCCAAAAGGCACTTAAAGGACTCTCATACCATGAGAAACAAGATTTTCTGGTCTGATGAAATCAAGATTGAACTATTTGGCCTGAATGCCAAGCCTCACGTCTGGAGGAAACCTGGCACCATCCCTATGGTGAATCATGGAGGTGGCAGCATCATGCAGTGGGGATGTTTTTCAGCGGCAGGGACTGGGAGACTAGTCAGGATCGAGGGAAAGATGAACGGAGCAAAGTAGAGAGAGCTCCTCGATGAAAACCTGCTCCAGAGCGCTCAGAACCTCAGACTGGGGCGAAGGTTCACCTTCCTACAGGACAACGACCCTAAGCACACAGCCAAGACAACGCAGGAGTGGCTTCGGGACAAGTCTCTGAATGTCCTTGATTGGCCCAGCCAGAGCCTGGACTTGAAACCGATCGAACATGTCTGGAGAGACCTGAAAATACCTGACAGAGCTTGAGAGGAATTGTTTTTGATTTTTCATTATGGGGTATTGTGTAGATTGATGAGGGGAAAAAACAATTTTATTAATTTTTTAATAAGGCTACAACGTAACAAAATGTGGAGAAAGTCAAGAGGTCTGAATACTTTCCGAATGCACTGTGTGTATGTATATATATATACAGTATATATATATATAAAAAATTTTTTAAAGCAGATGTTTCTCGGCACTGTGAGTTGTGGGGTATATGGGTAATATTGACTGGCTGGTCTTGTAACAGTTATTTCATTCACAATATTAGATGACTGTTCCTTTCTTTTCATAGCTCATTGCTAGAATCAACCTCTATAATCCTATTTGACCACTGATTGTGTTTGGTTTGAAATGACAAGATTAGGGTTGCAGAAATCCTGGTTGGAGGATTCCGGATTTCCCACTTATTCCCTCCTGATTCCGGAAATCCTCCAACCAGGATTTCGGGAAAATCTGGGAATTTATTGAAAGTTCCCAGAATTTTGCAACCCTAGACAAGATACATTGTGATCCATTTCTTATCAACTCATTACACCTCAATACCCCAACATTGTTCAGATTATGGGATAAAGCAATTATTTGCATGTCATTTCCAGATTTAACCTTAAATATTAGTGTTTTTCTTTTTTCTCATAGACTGATAATCTAATGAAAATAACATTGACATGGGAATGTGAAAGGATAGAGAAATCATCCTAATGGCACCATTTAGTAGTCAAATATCAAGGCTACCGCCACACCATTGTGATGTACCATGCAATATCATCAGAAGTACACAATACCAGTGCATTTATCCATTGCGTGGATAATGCTTTCAGACTATTTCAATAGATTGCAATGGTGCACCATTAGCTGAGTCTGCAAGATGAGGGATGAGGCTTGTAGCTGAGGAGGCGTCTTGGAAAATAATACAAAATGCAGCATCTCCTCTTTGCAGTCAATGGGAACTGGATAAGATAAACTGAAATGTATGGAGCTTTGCTCTTATACGCTAAGTGGGGGGACATAAATCCACAGAGATGGTACATGTTATGTAAAATTAGATAACAGGCTAATTGTATTCAGCCTCGTCCCTGCAGGTAACAGCAATAGGGTTAAAAAACGTATCTGAAGTCATTAAAAAATTGAATTGCTGTCGGCAATGAGCTTAATCACTCGGTAGAACATTTGGATGCAGTAAAGCATCCGCTGAAGGAGCCCTCTAGCCAACTTTGGTGATTTATTAGTTTATTCCCCTAGCACTTCTCTGGATGATCTTTCCACCCCAGCAAAGAGATGCATAAAAACAAGACTATTGTCTTAACTTGGCCAGCATATTAAGATACTTTACAATACCTTTAGAAATCACAAGCATTATGATCTTCATGGCTTTGTCATTCGTCCTAGATTTGTTACCAACCCAAGGCTGAGATATCCAAGTACCCCATGGAATGTCTTCACATAAGAAATCTGAAGTCAATTATGTCTTTACTATGCTATGTGTGTGTACAGGATGCGTGCATGTGTGTGGGGGTGGGTGTGCTCGCGGAGCATGCATGCTCTCTTTGCATGTGTCATTGCTCTCTCATTTGTTCTCTCTGAAAGGGGGAAATGTTTCAAAGTCATCTCTGCATGGTGACCTTATAATGGAGGTTGTTGCCAAGCAATTACACGGTTTGCCTTCTTTCTGCCTGAACAGAAAGAAACATGTGTTCTGTTAAAATGGACAAGCAGAGTGAAAAGGTACTTTGTTCTGGTTTACCCCCACCCATCAGCAAAGCTGACTGGAGATGTATTTGTCACCCTTTCCCCGCAGAGTATTTTGTGTTCACTCTACAAGCTCATTTATTTGCTTTTAAAAGATTCCATCTCACAGTATGCTGTTTCTGGATACTTACTGGCTAACAAATAGGGCTCATCAACTCGAGTGCAGACATTACAGGGCTATTTGGCCATGTTGTTGTCGTAAATTGACCAAAAACCTTTTTGCAACATAAAAGGTTTGAGTGAGTGTCCTTATGAGTCAAGGGCTTTGGCCGCGGTGTCTGTGGATGAACATCCTGTATGTGGCTGATGTTTTCTCTCTAAGATAAAGAGGTATATTATAGCACATTTTTGATAAGGTGATAATCATATGATGTACAGTATATCGTTGTAGGGTGTAGTAGGTAAAGTTCAATAAAACATGCAGGCAGCTGACTACTTAGCTTTATCAGTCTCAAAATGAACACAAAACTGTAGTGAAGCAAAAGGAAGATCAACACCCACACCCAAAAACTGGGCAGAGGACCAAAAAGTTGACTTAGGGCTGACTGTCAGCTGCCCCAATACTGGGAAGACAGTCTAGACAAATGACTTTATAATTTGCCCCCACAGGAAATTCCATTCAAGCATTCGGTTATGGAACAGACAGTCTCTTCCACAAAGCTGAGTCTGTCCCACCAACCCCTTCCATGAAGCCTGGATTACAGACCTCAGTCAGCACCTCAGAGCCATACAACCCCAATGACGTCCAGCCTGAGGATGAGGCCCACGGGAAGGTATGCAGGCATATCACCAGCTAGCACTGGGTTCCAAGTTCAAATAACCAGGGTCGTGTTCATTAGGGCACGCAACGGAAAACGTTTTAAAGCGTTTTGTAACTGAAAACAAATTAATGATTTTTTATTGGACAAGACCAGAAGGTCCATCCCTGTTTCAGTCCATTTGAGTCATTTAGGTGCCAAATGAACATGACCCATTAATCACCAGTAGCTACATTTAATTAAAACTGGTTAACAGTTTTGAAACATTTTGAATGTTGCAGATGATGCATAGCTGACAAGAATAACTATTCTACATAAAACAGAATCATGTCAGTTCTACACCATTTCTCTGTGAATGTTCTGTAATGCTAACAACCCCTGATTTATTTTCTGGGATAGGTAGAAAAAAACTGTTGCTGTGCAGTGGGAAAACATGTTTGCTTATCTGTTTTGTTTTCACACTGTAAACATAATTTCTGTTGAGTATATAAATCCAAATGTGCGTCCTTTCAACACAAGAAGTATGAAGATGCTTTTGAACTATCTCACAGACCCAGTTACTGTGTTTGACTGAATATTGAATAGGGACCTTCGTATGGCATTAAAGGGGCAGTGCAGTCAAAAACATGATTTTCCAGAAGAAAAATAAAGAAAGATATATCCACACTATGAGGTTTAAATAACACTCTGAACATGTGAAACTGATTATAATGCCCTTTTAGTGTAAGAGCTTAAAAAAATATATATATATATACATTCTGGAATTTCAGTCTGTTAAGCTGGGATGGAGTTTTTGGCCCACTGCATGACGCACAATCTGATTATTCTGACCAATGACCAGTCATCTTTTCTTTGCATATGTATCCTCCTACTTTGAAGGGGTAAGCGGAGTAGGCTCTAGAGTCTAGACGATCCTATTCACCAATCAGGGCTATGGTGGTCAAAGGTTTTGAGAATGACACAAGTATTGGTCTTCACAAAGTTCGCTGCTTCAGTGTTATGAGATATTTTTGTCAGATGTTACTATGGTATACCGAAGTATAATTACAAGCATTCCATAAGTGTCAAAGGCTTTTATTGACAATTACATTAAGTTTATGCAAAGAGTCAATATTTGCAGTGTTGACCCTTCTTCAAGACCTCTGCAATCGCCCATGGCATGCTGTCAATAGACTTTCGGCCATCCTGCTGATGGCAGCCATCTTACTTGCAAATCAATGCTTGGAGTTTGTCAGAATTGTGGGTTTTTGTGTCACCGCTCTTGAGGATCGACCACAAGTTTTCAATGGGATTAAGTCTGGATGTTCCTGCATGGACCAAATGTCTGTTTTGTCCCCGAGCATAGTATCCGTTGCCTATGGAAGGTGCCCATCATGCTGGGAAGCATGGTCATCACCAAATGTTTTGGAGGTGGAGAAGTGCCTCGGGGTGTGTGGACCATCTTATTCATGGCTGTGTCTTGGCAAATGGAGTGAGCACTCCCTTGGTGAGAAGCAACCCCACCATTAATGGTTCTCAGGATGCTTTACTGTTGGCATGACACAGGACTGATGGTAGCGCTCACCTTGTCTTCTCCGGACAAGTTGTTTTCTGGGTGCCCCAAACAATCGGAAAGGGGATTCATCAGAGAAAATGACTTTACCTCAGTCCTCAGCAGTCCAATCCCTGTACCTTTTGCAGAATATCAGTTTGTCCCTGATGTTTTTCCTGGAGAGAAGTGGCTTCTTTGCTGCCCTTCTTGACACCAGGCCATCCTCCAAAAGTCTTCACCTCACTGTTCGTGCAGATGCACTCACACCTGCCTGCTGCCATTCCTGAGCAAGCTCTGCACTGGTGGTGCCCCAATCCCGCAGCTGAATCAACTTTTGGAGACGGTCCTGGTGCTTGCTGGACTTTCTTGGCGGCTTAAAGGCTTAAAGGGTCCTATGGACAGATACTCCAATCCCCGCTGTGGAGCTTTGCAGCTCCTTCAGGGTTATCTTTGGTCTCTTTGTTGCCTCTCTGATTAATGCCCTCCTTGCCTGGTCCGTTAGTTTTGGTGGGTGGCCCTCTCTTGGCAGGTTTGTTGTGGTGCCATATTCTTTTCATTTTTTAATAATGGATTTAATGGTGCTCCGTGGGATGTTCAAAGTCTCTGATATTTTTTTATAACCCAACCCTGATCTGTACTTCTCCACAACTTTGTCCCTGACCTGTTTGGAGAGCTCCTTGGTCTTCATGGTGCCGCTTGCTTGGTGGTGCCCCTTGCTTAATGGTGTTGCAGACTCTGGGGCCTTTCAGAACAAGTGTATATATACTGAGATCATGTGACAGATCATGTGACACTTAGATTGCACACAGGTGGACTTTATTTAACTAAATATGTGACTTCTGAAGGTAATTGGTTGCACCAGATCTTATTTAGGGGCTTCATAGCAAAGGGGGTGAACACATATGCACGCACCACTTTTCCGTTATTAATTTGTTCTAATTTTTTTCATTTCACTTCACCAATTTTGACTATTTTGTGTATGTCGATTACATGAAATACAAATACAAATCCATTTAAATTACAGGTTGTAATGCAAAAAAATAGGAAAAACGCCAAGGGGGATGAATACTTTTGCAAGGCACTGTATGTAAATATATGTACATTTGTATCAACACGCCCACGCTTTCAGACTTTTTTTAATGGCAAAAGGAGGCGCAAGGAAATAAATGATTGAAAACATATTTGAGTTATTTTCATGAAATAAACACACACAGTTATTTATTTGACATACAGTGATGATTAAAAAATATATTAAAAAGACTGCATGGGGTATTTAAAGCCAGAATCCTTAGTTGCTACATACATTTTTGGACTTATAAATGAGTGATATACAGTGCATTCAGAAAGTATTCAGACCCTTGACTTTTTCCACATTTTGTTGCATTACAGCCTTATTCTAAAATGTATTAAAATTGTTTAAAAAAATATATATATATATTTTTTAAAACTGAAATATCATTTTTCCGTAAGTATTCAGACCATTTACTCATTACTTGGTTGAAGCACCTTTGGCAGCGATTACAGCCTCGAGTCTTCTTGGGTATGACACTACAAGCTTGGCACACCTGTATTTGGGGAGTTTCTCCCATTCTTCTCTGCAGATCCTCTCAAGCTCTGTCAGGTTAGATGGGGAGCATGGCTGCACAGCTATTTTCAGGTCTCTCCAGAGATGTTCGATCGGGTTCAAGTCAGGGCTCTGGCTGGGCCACTCAAGGACATTCAGAGACTTGTCCCGGAGCTACTCCTGTGTTGTCTTGGCTGTGTGCTTAAGGGTCGTTGTCCTGTTGGAAGGTGAACCTTCGCCCCTAGTCTGAGGTCCTGAGCGCTCTGGAGCAGGTTTTCATCAATAATCTCTCTGTAGTTTGCTCCGTTCATCTTTCCCTCGATCCTCACTAGTCTCCCAGTCCCTGCCACTGAAAAACATCCCCACAGCATGATGCTGCCACCACCATGCTTCACCGTAGGGATGGTGCCAGGTTTCCTCCAGATGTGACGCTTGGCATTCAGGCCAAGGAGTTCAATCTTGGTTTAATCAGACCAGATAATCTTGTTTCTCATGGTCTGAGAGTCCTTTAGGTGCCTTTTAACAAACTCCAAGCGGGCTGTCAGGTGCCTTTTACTGAGGAGTGGCTTCCGTCTGGCCACTATACCATAAAAGCCTAATTGGTGGAGTGCTGCAGAGATGGTTGGCCTTCTGGAAGGTTCTCCCATCTCCACAGTCACTCTGGAGCTCTATCAGAGTGACCATCGGGTTCTTGTTCACCTTCCTTTCCCTGACCAAGGCCCTTCTCCCCCGATTGCTCAGTTTAGGAAGAGGAAGAGTATTGGTGGTTCCATTTAAGAATGATGGAGACCACATGCTGCAGAAATTTGTTGGTACCTTTCCCCAGATCTGTGCCTCGACACAATCCTGTCTCGGAGCTCTACGGACAATTCCTTCGACCTCATGGCTTGGTTTTTGCTCTGACATGCAGTGTCAACTGTGGGACCTTATATAGACAGGTGTGTGCCTTTCCAAATCATGTCCAATCAATTGAATTTACCATAGGTCGACTCCAATCAAGTTGTAGTAACATCTCAAGGATGATCAATCGAAACAGGATAAACCTGAGCTGAATTTCGGGTCTCATAACAAAGGGTCTGAATACTTATGTAAATAAAGTATTGAGGTATTTTATTTTTTATAAATTTGCAAAAAATGTCTAAAAAACCTGTTTTAGATTCGTCATTATGGGGAATTGTGTGTAGATTGATGAGGAAAACATTTTATTTAATCTATTTTAGAATAAGGCTGTAAAGTAACAACATGTGGAAAAAGGGAAGGGGTCTGAATACTTTCCAAATGCACTGTACCCATTCATTCTTAAAGAATATAACTTCTAAATGCCTTAGCTCAACTGTCGTATACCCATCAGAACCCAAATACAATCTTGTTTACACCAATGTTAGTAAACAAAGTAAATGTAAACAAACACTGTATAGCCTCAAATCATGGTTAAAAAACACCATTTCGATATCATGGATGGTCAGTCCTTGTATCAATAGCTCTGTCTATGAATTTGAGAGTGGTTACATTTCTCTAGTCCCATCCTTCAGCTTTTTACTAAAACAGAGGTCTTTGCGAACGCTATGTTATGTTATGCTATTGTTTCAATTAAGGATTCTAGCTTTAAACAAGATAAGTCGTTGTTTGTATTATATGATTATTATAGGGATATTTATAATTCCATGTTTCATGCATGGCTGAAAAACAATACTGTTCTGGCATCATTATTATGTTTGAAAATACTCCTATAATGATGTTGAATGCTGAGCAATTTCAGGCTTTCACATCCATTAAATGGTCATCTCTCACACTGCTCCAATAGTGTGCTGTACACAACCCTCATTGTGATAAAGACAGCAAATGAATACCTTAAAAATGGTGTGAGGGTGAGAATGAATGAATAAGCCACGCTGATAACAATAACAGTGGGAGGTAGAGGAGGGGAGCGGTTGAATTGCTTTCTCTAAAGGTTCTGTGTGTATGTCAGTATTGATGCACCGCTCTGTGCCTCTCTCGCTGCAGTGCAATGCTTAATTTATAGTAAAAATGGTAATTAGGAAACAATAAGACATGTGATTACTCAAGCAGGAAGTTTATAATTAGAGAGGGAGCCGGTGGGGACTTTTTGGGCGGCCCCTCATTCTGCAGCATATATGCTTGGCAATTAAAATGTGTCAAACTTACATCGTAGATTAATTGGTAGAATGCTGATATGACTCCTCTTGGCAAAAGACAGGCTGTCTAGCCTCTTAAATCTCATGACTGCTCAGGACCACACGCATGCTGTTGTCCAGTTAGTGGAAATGTTATGCTAAATGAAGTGGCGTAGTCTGCTGTGTGTTTGATGGCTGGACAGGCTCCCCCTGACACTCGATAAGTAATCTGAAGTGTTGTTTGATAAATGAGCCCTGTGGAGCATTAGGCCAGGATTGGCTGTGCTGCTCAAACTTAATTCCCTCTCAAGTCAAAACCCTGGTGTAGAGAATCATTGTACCGTCTAAAATTGTATTTTCAGCTGTTTGAAGCTGGTGTACAAAACCGAAAGTAAAATTCACTTTGTCTTATCACTGTTTGCAACTTCTGTATTTTCAACCCTCTGGAAAGTTTCAGGAAGTGAAACTGTGGAGGACTGTTGAATGGATAAGGATATGAATAATGTGTATAAGATGTCATTTTCCTTACCAATCAGGATTTCAATTAATTCAGTGGACAGGCTTTCAGAATGCTGCTAACATTTAATAATGGAGAGCTTTCGTATTTCGTATTGTACATGTTATTATATTAATTGTTATATTATATTATTATATTGATTCTACTAATGTTAGGCCTATCTACTTCTCTATTTTTGCCACCTCAGTTTCGTGTTTTGGTGCGTTCAGATCCACATAAGAATATATTGTGCCACAACCATTGGGCCAAATGTGTGGTGCAATGCTTGTAGAAGTTACGTTGGCGCAGCCTTTGCATAGATACAGTATGTGCAAGTACTTTAACCAGTGGTTGCTGGTGGGAAGAGCTATAGGAGGATGGGCTCATTGTAATGGCTGGAATGGAATTAATGGAACGGAGTCAAACATGTGGTTTCCATATGTTTGATGTGTTTGATACCGTTCCATTTATTCCATTCCAGCCATTACAATGAGCCCATCCTGCTATAGCTCCTCCCACCAGCCTCCACTGACTTTAACGTGACCCCAAAATACCAACTCTGTCATTGCCCTAGTCATTGCTCACTGCCTGGCTGTTTTGTGTATGTAGAACAGAGCTCCTAATTTTACTGCCATTTCAGCTGTTTGGAAATGGAGATCAAAAAGTGTTTTATCGTTTTTTTCAATCACTTCGGCACATTTTTTATATGTATGTGGTGTATTTTCAAAACTCTAGGTACAAAACTCTAAACTGATAAAACTTGTAATGCCCCTTATCTTATGTTCAGAACCTTTGATTGTGCATTTCTGTGAAATAGCATGAAAACATTTTGTTTAGTCACCAATACATCAGATAATGATAGGCTTGCCATTTAGTCATTTTAACTAAGATTTAATCCAATAGCAAAAAATATAAGATACACATTTCAAAATTGTTATTTTTGAAGTGCTGGTTAGAAAGAATAGTACCTGGTAAATATATTTGTCCATGCAGTATTTGACTAAAACTTGACATTCCATTTAAAAAAAAATAAGTTGTATACAATGGCAGGTTGTGAGTATGTTGAGAGATATGTAATTCTTACAGTTTTATTATCCTTATACAGTACATACGTAGGACAAATCATCAGAAATAAATAAGTTCTTGTAAAGCAGTTGGCTACTGTAAAAACGTAGCACGGTGTTGTATTCCATTTCTGCCCCATGCAACATTACATTTCAGTCATTTAGTAGACACTCTTATCCAGAGCGACTTACAGTTAGTAAGTGCATACATTTTTCATACTGGCACCCCGTGGGAATCGAACCCACAACCCTGGCGTTGCAAGCGTCATGCTCTACCAACTGAGCTACAAGAGGCCTACATTGCACAATATCACCTTTTCTATGAGACTTGTCAACTGAAACAGTATTGTTCTCTGCTAAACAAAAAGTGCCCTTTGAATGTAGTATGCTACCGTACTGTAAATTACAGTACATTACACTGTTTTCACATTAGACAATACACTTGTCAGAGGAAGGCCCTCAAAATTGTCAAAGACTCCAGCCACCCTAGTCATAGACTGTTCTCTCTGCTTCCGCACGGCAAGCGCCAAGTCTAGGTCCAAAAGGCTTCTCAACAGCTTCTACCCCCAAGCCATAAGACTCCTGAACAGCTAATCATTGCCACCCAGACTATTTGCACTGCCACTCCCCCCCCCCCCCCCCCCAACCCCACCCCCACCCCCACCCCCCTCTTTTAAGCTGCTGCTACTCTGTCTATTATTTATGCATAGTCACTTTAACTCTACCCACATGTACATATTACCTCAATTACCTCGACTAGCCGGTGCCCCCGCACATTGACTCTGCACCGGTAACCCCTTGTATATAGCCTCCCTACTGTTATTTTATTTTACTGCTGCTCTTTAGTTATTTTTTTTTCCATTTTTTTTTACTTAACACTTTAAAAAAATATACAAAATAATGCTTTGTTGGTTAAGGGCTTGTAAGTAAGCATTTCACTGTAATGTCTACACCTGTTGTATTTGACGCATGTGGCAAATACAATTTGATTTGATTTGATTTGCACTACTCATTAAAATTGAGTGAACATCACATTTCCATCATTTCTATCCCATGTGTGATCAAAGGTGTGATCATTGAAGAAATCTTTCACATTGTAATCAAATGAAAGAAATGAAAGAAACATAATGTTTAGCAGCACTAGTTTGCATCAAGCCTGTCTTGAGCATTTGGCCATAGGTTCTCATCAAAATCGCGGTAAATATCCCCATTGTTCAAGCATCTGGCTAAAAACCTTTTTGCATGGCGAATCCAAGTGGCCAGTGATTCCATGTCTATGTATATAGGGCAGCAGCCTCTAAGGTGCAGGGTTGAGTAACTGGGTGGTAGCCGGCTAGTTATAGCTATTTAACAGTCTGATAGCCTTGAGATAGAAGCTGTTTTTCAGTCTCTTTGTCCCAGCTCTGATGCACCTGTACTGACCTCGCCTTCTGGATGATAGCGCGGTGAACAGGCGGTGGCTTGGCTGGTTGATGTCCTTGATGATATTTTTAGCCTTCCTGTGACATTGGGTGCTGTAGGTGCCCCCGGTGATGCGTTGGGCATACCGCACCACCCTCTGGAGAGCCGGTGCAGTTGCCATACCAGGCAGTGATACGGCCCGACAGGATGCTCGCAAATGTGCATCTGTAAAGGTTTGTGAGGGTCTTAGGGGCCAAGCCAAATTTCTTCAGCCTCCTGAGGTTGAAGAGGCGCTGTTGCGACTTCTTCACCACACTGTCTGTGTGGGTGGAACATTTCAGATTGTCAGTGATATGTACGCTGAGGAACTTGAATCTTTCCACCTTCTCCACTGCGGTCCCGTCAATGTGGATAGGGGGGTGCTCCCTCTGCTGTTTCCTGAAGTCCACGATCAGCTCCTTCATTTTGTTGACGTTGAGGGAGAGGTTATTTTCCTGGCACCACTCTGCCAGGGCCCTCACCTTCTCCCTGTAGGCTGTCTCGTCATTGTTAATAATCAGGCCTACTACTGTTGTGTCATCTGCTAACTTGATTGAGTTGGAGGCGTGCATGGCCATGCAGTCATGGGTGAACAGAGAGTACAGGAGGGGGCTGAGCACGCACACTTGTGTGGCCCCTGTGTTGAGGATCAGCGAAGTGTAGGGGTTGTTTCCTACCTTCACCACATGGGGGCGGCCCGTCATGAAGTCCAGGACCCAGTTGCACAGGGCGGGGTTCAGACCCAGGGCCCCGAGCTTAATGATGAGCTTGGAGGGTAATATGGTGTTGAAGGCTGAGCTATAGTCAATGAACAGCATTCTGACGTAGGTATTCCTCATGTCCAGATGGGATAGGGCAGTTTGCAGTGCGATGGCGATTGCATCGTCTGTGGATCTATTGGGGCGGTAAGAAAATTGAAGTTGGTCTAGGGTGTCAGGTAAGGTAGAGGTGATATGATCCTTAACTAGCCTCTCAAAGCACTTCATGATGACAGAAGTGTGTGCTACGGGGCGATAGTCATTCAGTTACCTTAGTTTTCTTGGGTACAGGAACAATGGTGGACATCTTAAAGCAAGTGGGGACAGCAGATTGGGATAGGGAGAGATTGAATATGTCCGTAAACACTCCAGCCATCTGGTCTGCGAATGCTCTGAGGACACGGCTAGGGATGCCATCTGGGCCGGCAGCCTTGCGAGGGTTAACACGCTTAAATGTCTTACTCATGTCGGCCATGGAGAACGAGAGCCCACAGTCCTTTGGAGCATGCCATGTCGGTGGCACTGTGTTATCCTCAAAGCGGGCCAAGAAGGTGTTTAGCTTGTCCGGGAGCAAGACGTCGGTGTCCGTGACGTGGCTGGTTTTCCCATTGTAATCCGTGATTGTCTGTAGACCCTGCCACATACGTCTCGTGTCTGAGCCGTTGAATTGCGACTCCACTTTGTCTCGATACTGACGTTTTGCCTGTTTGATTGTCTCACGGAGGGAATAACTACACTGTTTGTATTTGACCATATTCCCAGTCACCTCGCCATGGTTAAATGCGGTTGTTTGTGCTTTCAGTTTTGCACGAATGCTGCCATCTATCCACGGTTTCTGGTTTGGGTAGGTTTTAATTGTCACCGTGGGAACAACATCACCTATACACTTCCTGATTAACTCAGTCACCGTGTCCGTGTATACGTCAATGATATTCTCAGAGGCTCCCCGGAACATATCCCAGATCAAAATGATCTTGAAGCATAGATTCCAATTGGTCAGACCAGCATTGAATAGACCTGAGCACGGGTACTTCCTGTTTGAGTTTCTGCCTATAGGAATGGAGGAGCAAAATTGAGTGGTGATCTGATTTGCCGAAGGGAGGGCTGGGGAGGGCCTTGTAGGCATCTCGAAAAGGCGAGTAGCAGTGGTCTAGTGTTTTTCCTAAGCGAGTACTACAGTCAATGTGTTGATAGAACTTCGGTAGCGTTTTCCTCAAATTTGCTTTGTTAAAGTCCCCAAATACAATAAATGCGGCCTCAGGATATGTGGTTTCCAATATTCTAGGTCGGGTGAACAAAAGGACTTGAGATTCTGTATGTTATCACAATCACACCATAAGAATACATTTGAAAATAAATTGGATGACCTAAGATTACGGTTATCCTACCAACGGGACATTAAAAACTGTAATATCTTATGTTTCACCGAGTCGTGGCTGAACGACGACATGGATAACATACAGCTAGCGGGCTATACGCTACATCGGCAGGATAGAACGGCTGACTCCGGTAAGACAAGGGGTGGCGGTCTGTGTATATTTGTAAACAACAGCTGGCGCACAAAATCAAATACTAAGGAAGTCTCGAGGTTTTGCTCGCCTGAGGTAGAGTATCTTATGATAAGCTGTAGACCACACTATTTACCAAGAGAGTTTTCATCTATATTTTTCATAGCTGTCTATTTACCACCACAAACCAATGCTGGCATTAAGATTGCACTGAATGAGTTGTACAAGGCCATAAATCAACAGGAAAACGCTCATCCAGATGCAGCGCTCCTAGTGGCCGGGGACTTTAATGCAGGGAAACTTAAATCCGTTCTACCTAATTTCTACCAGCATGTTAAATGTGCAACCAGAGGAAAAAAAACTCTAGACCACCTTTACTCCACACACAGAGACGCATACAAAGCTCTCCCTCGCCCTCCATTTGGCAAATCTGACCATAACTCTATCCTCCTGATTCCTGCTTATAAGCAAAAACTAAAGCAGGAAGCACCAGTGACTCGGTTAATAAAAAAGTGGTCAGATGACGCAGATGCTAAGCTACAGGACTGTTTTGCTAGCACAGACTGGAACATGTTCCAGGATTCTTCAGACAGCATTGAGGAGTACACCACATCAGTCACTGGCTTCATCAATAAGTGCATCGATGATGTCGTCCCCACAGTGACCGTACGTACATACCCCAACCAGAAGCCATGGATTACAGGAAACATCCGCACTGAGCTAAAGGGTAGAGCTGCCGCTTTCAAGGAACGGGACTCTAACCCGGACGCTTATAAGAAATCCCGCTATGCCCTCCGACGAACCATCAAACAGGCAAAGAGTCAATACAAGACTAAGATTGAATCGTACTACACTGGCTCTGACGCTCGTCGGATGTGGCAGGGCTTGAAAACTATCACAGACTACAAAGGGAAGCACAGCCGCGAGCTGCCCAGTGACACAAGCCTACCAGACGAGCTAAACCACTTCTATGCTCGCTTCGAGGCAAGCAAGACTGAAGCATGCATGAGAGCACCAGCTGTTCCGGATGACTATGTGATCACGCTCTCCGTAGCCGATGTGAGTAAGACTTTTAAGCAGGTCAACATTCACAAGGCCGCAGGGCCAGACGGATTACCAGGACGTGTACTCCGAGCATGTGCTGACCAACTGGCAAGTGTCTTCACTGACATTTTCAACATGTCCCTGACTGAGTCTGTAATACCAACATGTTTCAAGCAGACCACCATAGTCCCCGTGCCCAAGGACTCTAAGATAACCTGCCTAAATGACTACCGACCCGTAGCACTGACATCTGTAGCCATGAAGTGCTTTGAAAGGCTGGTCATGGCTCACATCAACAGCATTATCCCAGAAACCCTGGACCCACTCCAATTTGCATACCGCCCCAACAGATCCACAGATGATGCAATATCTATTGCACTCCACACTGCCCTTTCCCACCTGGACAAGAGGAACACCTACGTGAGAATGCTATTCATTGACTACAGCTCAGCATTCAACACCATAGTGCCCTCTAAGCTCATCACTAAGCTAAGGATCCTGGGACTAAACACCTCCCTCTGCAACTGGATCCTGGACTTCCTGACGGGCCGCCCCCAGGTGTTAGGGTAGGTAACAACACATCTGCCACACTGATCCTCAACACGGGGGCCCCTCAGGGGTGCGTGCTCAGTCCCCTCCTGTACTCTCTGTTCACCCATGACTGCATGGCCAGGCACGACTCCAACACCATCATTAAGTTTGCCGACGACACAACAGTGGTAGGCCTGATCACCGACAACGATGAGACAGCCTATAGGGAGGAGGTCAGAGACCTGGCCGTGTGGTGCCAGGACAACAACCTCTCCCTCAACGTGACCAAGACAAAGGAGATGATTGTGGACTACAGGAAAAAAAAGAGGACTGAGCACGCCCCCATTCTCATCGACGGGGCTGTAGTGGAACAGGTTGAGAGCTTCAAGTTCCTTGGTGTCCACATCACCAACGAACTATCATGGTCCAAACACACCAAGACAGTCGTGAAGAGGGCACGACAAAGCCTATTCCCCCTCAGGAGACTGAAAAGATTTGGCATGGGTCCTCAGATCCTCAAAAAATTCTACAGCTGCACCATCGAGAGCATCCTGACTGGTTGCATCACCGCCTGGTATGGCAACTGCTTGGCCTCCGACCGCAAGGCACTACAGAGGGTAGTGAGTACGGCCCAGTACATCACTGGGGCCAAGCTTCCTGCCATCCAGGACCTCTATACCAGGCGGTGTCAGAGGAAGGCCCTCAAAATTGTCAAAGACTCCAGCCACCCTAGTCATAGACTGTTCTCTCTGCTACCGCACGGCAAGCGGTATCGGAGTGCCAAGTCTAGGTCCAAAAGACTTCTCAACAGCTTCTACCCCCAAGCCATAAGACTCCTGAACAGCTAATCATGGCTACCCGGACTATTTGCACTGCCCCCCCACCCCATCCTTTTTACGCTGCTGCTACTCTGTTAATTATTTATGCATAGTCACTTTAACTCTACCCACATGTACATATTACCTCAACTACCTCAACTAGCCGGTGCCCCCGCACATTGACTCTGCAACGGTACCCCCCTGTATATATAGCCTCCCTACTGTTATTTTATTTTACTTCTGCTCTTTTTTTTCTCAACACTTTTTTTGTTGTTGTTTAAAAAAAAAAAAATGTTAAAAATAAATGCACTGTTGGTTAAGGGCTGTAAGTAAGCATTTCACTGTAATGTCTGCACCTGTTGTATTCGGCGCATGTGACCAATACAATTTGATTTGATTTGATTTGATTTGAGTAGTTAATCATGAAACATACACCACCGCCTTTCTTCTTCCCGGAGAGTTGTTTTTTTCTGTCTGCGCGATGAACTGAGAACCCAGCTGGCTGCATGGATGGGGACAGTATATCCCGAGAGAGCCATGATTCTGTGAAACAGAGTATGTTACAGTGCCTGATGTCTCTCTGGGAGGAGATCCTCGCCCTGAGCTCGTCCACTTTATTGTCCAGAAACATTAGCGAGTAATATACTCTGAAGCGGTGGATGGTGTGCACGCCTCCTGAGTCGGACTAGAAGTCCACTCCGAATACCTCTTCTACGCCGGCGGTGTCTTGGAGTAGCCTCTGGGATAAGTTCAATTGCAGTGGGGGTGCGAACAAAGGATCCAATTCGGGAAAGTCATATTCCTGGTCATAATACTGGTGAGTTACCATTTACATTTACATCATTTAGCAGACGCTCTTATCCAGAGCAACTTACAAATTGGTGCATTCAACTTATGATAGCCAGTGGGACAACCACCTTTTTTTGTATTTAGTTTTTTATAGGGGGAGGGGGAAGAAAGATTACTTTAAACTATTCCAGGTATTCCTTAAAGAGGTAGGGTTTCAAGTGTCTCCGGAAGGTGGTCAGTGACTCCGCTGTCCTGGCGTCGTGGGGGAGCTTGTTCCACCATTGGGGTGCCAGAGCAGCGAATAACTTTGACTGGGCTGAGCGGGAACTGTGCTTCCGTAGAGGTAGGGGAGCTAGCAGGCCAGAGGTGGATGAACGTAGTGCCACTGCTCTGATATCCAAAAGTTAATTTCCGTCTGTATGTAATAACACAAAAAACGTTCTAGGCTAATAATGTAAGAAATAACACACAACAAAAACGAAATACTGCAAAGGGTCACATACCAAAATGTGTGGACTGTTGCCACTTTGGATAAAAGTGTCTGCTACATAAATGGCATATATTATGGTATTACAGTAGTGTATTGGCCAATGTAGTTTTAGTAAAGCAGTGTGATTTTTTACATCCAGTACATCTCTGATCTTGTCAATATCAGATTAAAAAAAAAAATAATTCACAATACAAAAAAAAAAAATTGTTATCATCATAGCAGTACATTCAAGTATATATCATACTTTTTATTTTTCTGCTTTACAGATGTACATTTTCATTATGTAGTTTTTGATGATTTGTTTTGAGTTTTGTACTAAGAGTTGTGGGAATGTACCACATACATATGAAAATTGCACCAAAGCGATTGAAAAAAAAAACTGCCTGCCGGTATCTACAAGTGCCTAAGAAAACTATAAACTCACTATGATGTCTTTGTAGCAGTCCCAGTATGGGAGTTCAACATGTTGTTTTTCTGTATTTATGTTCCTGCAGGAACCTGATTGAAAATATTGTTTGGGATAAGAGGATATTATTAATTTAGTTTTGTGAAGGTAGCTTGACGTAAATAGATGGTGAGCACTTTTTAGAATTGATCAGAGCTTCGTCGAACAGTAATGTTCGACTGCTTACCATTTGTATGTCTCTGTGTGCAGTTTGAAGGAAGTTGCTAACTAACGCTAGTTAGCATTGGCTCGCGAAACTACCTGTAACTTCCTTCGTGCTGAATACAGAGAAATATAAATGGTATCCATGAGTTCATCTGACTCTGGGGAAGTTGCCAAAATCCCGAAATGGCCGTCTTAACAAGCTTTTAATCAGGGAAATAATTCATACATTTTTTCTCATCTTTTTGAGAGTCATGCATTATTTAATGGAACCATTGTATAAGAGAGAATTAGCCACCTCTTCAGAAGTCAATGTTTGCTTGAGGGCCCCTGACTTTACAGTACACTGTGTTGATTCTCAGCTCAATTGAATGTAATTGATTGCGGACCAACCCTGGGTTACTCAATAACCAGCCCTGGGAAAGCAGCTGAACATTGCTGTTCGACAAAGCTCTGATCAATTAAAAAAAGTACTCACCATCCATCTACTGTACATGTTAAGCTACCTTCACAAAACTAAATTAATTATATCCTGTTATCCCAAACAATATTTTGTGTGTGGGTACGTTTCTGAATGTGTGCGTGCATGTCTCTCTGTGTTTTTTTGTTGTTGTTGTCATTTAGCAGACGCTCTTATCCAGAGCGACTTACATTAGTAATTAGGGTTAAGTGCCTTGCTCAAGGGCACATCGACAGTTTTGTCACCTAGTCAGCTCAGGGATTCAAACCAGTGACCTTTCTGTTACTGGCCCAACACTCTTAACCGCTAGGCTACCTGTTCATATGTGCGTGCGTTCGTGTGTGTGTACTGATATACATATTGGCTGCAGACAGAGATCTGGACCAATGTCAACAGGCTGCTGCCACACATCACTGCACCTGCTAATTAATTGGCTTTTAGTTGCGGATGTGTTTGCTGCTTTGTCAAGCAACCGATTGCTTTTTTTTGGCAACTGTCATTTAACCATTTCTCTGTACAATCACACATTTGAAACCAAGCTCTTCCATAATCAATACAGCCTTTCCTTTCGCCTAAAACCCATACAAAAACATCTCCCAGTGCTTATATAACTACCATTGACTATTTTTTTCATTATGTATTTTTCAACAACAAAAAAATGCCCATGTGTTGTGTTGGAGACATTGCTATTAGAAGATTCTATCTGACTCTATGTTTTCTCTCTGTACAGGGAAATGGACCAAAGTGCAATCTCTCAAAAGGCTACATTTATGGAGATGAGGAAAGGAGTGGAGGAGGGAATGCTTCATGTTTCTGTTGATATGCTATATTGCTTTGCTGGGGAAATGGTGCCTCCACAAATTGAGAAAGCTGCAGTTACTTGGAGGCAAATTGTTTGCTAGGTGTTACAGGAATCAGAGCAAATTGAAAATGTTCAAAATGCTTACAATGTTATGGAAAAGCACATAATAAGGCCATGCTAGAGTGGGCATAACTGAGCAACTCTGGGGTGTACAATATCTAGAACAATACAGATGTAGTATCTTAATTTGATCACCCTGTTGTTGCAGGAAATTTTAACTTGTAGCATATTCTAGGTTTAAAAAGGCTTCTAAAGTTTGTAATTTCCATTTTAAAATTTCGGATATGATTTGCGCTAACAAAAAATGTATCAACCGCTACAAAAATGAATTGTAATCCACACAATAATTCACATTTCCTGATGCTGCAGGATTATTTTCCTGCTGTGGGATCCTTCATCTGTATGTCCCTTCTACCCTTTCTCCTAATGTACTGTACAACATAGTTGCCTTTCACATTGACTGCTGTTGTCCATGGTAAAATGTTCTATATGTTCTATATCTATATGTGTAGAAGTACAATGTTTTGACTGATATTGTACAGAAATAAAACTTATCCAAATGTCTAGGAAGCAGATTAGTACTGTAAAACTTCAGTTAATAGCCCGGGTGTTTATTTGCTTAAATCACTAAACACAACAGACACTTTTTAAAGACAGGATTCTATTTGAGCCAGGCATCTATTTACTTAATGCACACAGCTTTTGCTCATTAGCATAGTAAAACAATTTCCCCCAGCATTTTAAACAATTACTTCATTTCCTGCACTAATGTGTTATCATTTACACACTGTCATGTTTCTTTTGTCTTAGTATGCCTCTAAAAAAATAAAATAAAATATTATCTTCTTAGACTGTGCAATTTTGGCAGTTCTTACTTTCACAATTAGAGGGTGATAGGCCTATTTCTAGGGTTCTGTACTCCCGAAGTTGTTGACTGTTTTTCTGCTGTTAGCAGCAAATTGCTAGCAGTTTCTTACTAGAAGAAAAACAGATGATTGCCATAATTTCTTCGAGTCATTACTTAATTATTTAATGTAACAAATCAAACATTAAACCTAGTAAACAATTAATGATAATTCATGGTAACCTCGTAAGCAATGCCGAGCTACAGCGGTGTTTGTCAGACCATGAGACATCCCAAAAATATGTATTCTCACAAAAACGTCTGTAGCGTCTATGGGAAGGGGAGACTCTCACGAACATGATGGTGTTCTCCGTTCTGCTCTATGAACTCCCACAAGTGTCACGGGACTCGTCTGAAAGTAACCCATACAAACGAATGGAAGTATGGAGGTAGTTTTGTGCCAACAAAAATAAGGGGTTAAATATTTGTCCCAAAAAACGACAATATTTCCTGCGCTTTTTCTTATATCTCCTTATAGGACAGACACTTCAAAACCTTATTCCTTATTATTTATTTTTTGACTGTCTTTTTCATTTTTCAAATGTATTCATGTTTTTACTCCAGTGGAGTGGCTGTGGATCAGTGTTTTACCATTTCTCTGTAAAACGCAACACTCAGACTCACTGAGTCATTCCTAACCTTTTCCCATGTTGTCTTCCACTCAGACTCACTGAGTCATTCCTAACCTTTTCCCATGTTGTTCTCCACCTAGCCTCTACTGGAGCCCAGCAGTGGTTACGATGGCCTGACTAGACACAAGGACCCTCCTGATGACGGGTCACCCTGTGTCTGTGCCAGTGTCTGGGTGCTGCTGCTCAGCCTGACCTCCGCCGTGGCCAACCATGCCCTATAAAACTCCCTGTGGGCTGTCGTCGACCATCAAGCTGATCCCAAACGCAGAGGTGTTGTCAAGAGGCTTGTTTGAGGATTTTATTTTTTTCAAGCCCAGGCATCATCATGCTATTTCTAAAAGGAGAGGCGGAGAGCACACAATCGGAGATAAACTAAATATTATTTATTTGATGTAACATTTTGGTTTTTGAGGACCACTATGATCAAGAAAATGGCTTTACATGGACCCCTCATGTGGTGAAGCCTCAGTGGCTGTTGGCTGTGACTGTCTTTCCATCAGTAACACTGACAAAGACCCCAAAGTATCATGTCAAAGACTTCTGCACTCCTGCCATGACAAAGAGGAGAGAGAGAGAGAGAGAGAGAGAGAGAGAGAGAGAGAGAGAGAGAGAGAGAGAGAGAGAGAGAGAGAGAGAGAAATGGAGAAAGAGAGAGGAGAGAGAGATCTGCTGTCCTTCACATGTTTTCGTCTTGAAACAGTGCTCGACTTGCTTTTCTTTAATGGACAGACCTCAAACTTTGTGTTTCCATTACTTGCAGACAGAATAATTATCACTTTTGTGTCTTCTCAAAAGTGTAAATGTTAACTCAGTGTATCTGTGTTGGTATAGTAACAGTGAACAGTATGTTCAGTACAGCTCTTTTATTTCAGTGCTATATTTTTTCAGCAGACAAAAAAAAAGACTCAAATATAATGTTAACTGGTTCTCATTTGAGATGTTGTTGTCATTGATAGTGGGTGAGAATAAATATCCACCCACACATGTGCATACTTCGTCTGTGTATATAACAAACTGTTTTCTTTCAATGAGCCAATTTAAACAAACTGTTTTCTTTCAATTAACCAATATTACTTACCTTAAATGGTCAAGGCGATATGACTGCATTGTATTGTTAAGTATGAAGAACAAATTTAGAAGGCAAAGTTGGCTTCATGTCTATAAAGAAAAAGTAAAATAAGAATGTATAGAGGGATGAAATGTTATTAGCTCCATTTGCTTGGAACGTTATTACCTGTGTGTATTATAGTAGTTCTTTGTACAGTGCAAGTACACGTGGCCTTACCTATTGCTCGTACCGCATTATCCAGCTCATGGGACATTGCAACTCATAGTAACGCTTTACCAAATGAATCATTCAAATGGGTTCATGTCAAAACAACACAAGCCATCAGATCTACATTTGACTACATAAATTCCTGGGATTGAACCCTTCTGTTTCATTGGACTTTTCCAACAGAGGTGTCTCGAGCAAAGAAATACTCACAGTTTATAGCTGCTGCACATTCTGCTGTGTTGAGTTTTTCCCTGATTAATCTTATTTTTTGATTGGTCAGGTTGTAGCTGAGTCTTGCAGATGACATCATGACGTACTGCCTATGAATGATTACAATACTGGCTCTGGCCTCCTATAAAGCCAATCAAATGCATGAGGTAAATTAAGAGTTTTGACATGTAGTAATGTAAATAAATAAAATGATAAATATTCCCCCTCACACAGAATGGGTCTGGGTATAAGAGGAAAATGGGATTTCAGTATTTCTCACACATTTAAGTTAATTCATGCTGATTGATTCATACAAAACTGAACAATTGTGAAAAATATTACAGCAAACATGACCACTCAATGGAAGTCAAGACAGCACTGAAAACGAACACTGCACACAAATAGTTCCTGACAATAAATAAATAACATGTCGTAGCTTATATAAGGTGAGGGGCAGAGAGTACTCAAAGATGGGATGTCATGAGTGTATAAGTGATTGAAAGAGTGAGAAGAGTGTGTGTGTGTATGTGTGTGTGTGTGTGCCTGTGTGCTGGAGGTGCAGTTTTAAAGATGCTGCCAGAGTCGTTTGTTTCCTTTCAATATAAAAATGGGGAGGGGGTAGTTGTGTGGTGGGGTCTAGAGGCACGGGAATACGAAAGCGGCGGGTTACTGTGCGTTCACTTGATTAATGAGCCAGTGGGATGATGTTTCTTATCAACACTCTGCACATGTTGGAGAGAGGAGTAAGGTTTACAAGACTGGGGATCCTCCAATCAGCGACAGCACCCACTTCCTTCCCATCATTCCACTTCTTTCAGTCACACCTGCCTGTGTGGCTCTTTTCTCTTTGGCGCGGTTGGTGTGATATGTTATACACCATGAGGGGGCCACTTTGTGAAACACTGAACTTCATTCATACATACAAACTGGAGCGTTTATGTTTATGTTTACATATTTGTTCACTAGCTGGAATCTCAGTCTGTGTGACAGTGTACAATAACAGCTTTTATAATAGGCACATTCTATTGCTGTGCTCACAATTTGGATACATATGAGGAGTCTACAGTCTCCTTGCAAGAATAGGAGAGCCTAGCTGTAGTGGAAATGCAAGGCAGGTTATTGGAAAGGAGCAAATGAAGCACTTTTTCCCAAAGGCACTGTTTATACTGTACTGTATATTGCACACATATTGAGCACCGCGGCTGCATGCACATTCATTAAAAGTTTTCATTTCATTTTCATAATTTTACCCTTGATCTTTCTTTAATTTCATTTTTAACTGCCTGCCTCATAAGTCAAGAACTGTCTGGCTTTTTTGCAAAGGGTGGGATGTAAAAATGAGCATGGTTGGGTAAGAAAAAAAGCAATAGAAAATCAAAAACGCTCTGAGCCTTTTCTTAAGCAAGCAACTGTGTTGTCAAGGGAGTGGACAGAGCTATTGAACTACTCCACTTGAGATGTAATTCCCTGCTCCATTGAAGAAAGTCTGGACATTTCTATTGGAAAGAGGAGAACCTCTAAAACAATCATATAGATTCTGCTATGCCAATGTGAGTTTGACTGCGTCATCCCCACTCCCTGTCTTTCACATGTGGGATGGTTATTGATTGAGCCATCATTTCCAAAGCTGAACATCTGTAATGGAATTCTACTATTTTTATTGGATTTGGTGATGGGATCTTGGTCTCTAACAGCTGTTGTGGCTTTATTACACTGTCTCTGTCACCAGTGGGAGGCTTCCACTATAGTGCTGACTGCTAGGGAACCTCATGACATCTCATCTGTATACACAGTGCTTCCTAATATTTAGGGGTTCACAGAGAAGCTGTGAAACCTATTGTTATTATTAGAAAAATATATATCTTGACATGGTCAAATAACTGAAGCATAGATTGGTAACTTTCTTTCTAATTTGGCACACAGAAACTAGAGGCCATGAGTAACTTGGTCAATAAGAATGAAACCGCTTGCCCTATAGGTGGCGCTGTTATAAGCAGTCTCACTTAAACTCTCATATCCGCCGCCCCGTTTGACCAAGAGACTTGACACGTTGTATGTATGTCTTTCCTCACGCTGAAAAAATTTTACTCCAGGACCCATAAGGTAGGTTTTCCTCCATCTTGGATATTTAGGGGAAATGTAGGCACATGGTACATCTCTAAACTTTGTTTGAGAAAAGCTAAGGGATTGGTTAAGAGATGGATAAGTTATTAATCACAATGGCCTATCAACTTTTTTTTAGGGTCATCAAAGAAATTACCATGATGAACCATGTTAAGTTTGGTATTGATATAAAAAAGGGAAACTATTAACAATTCACTTTTTTGACTATGAAATGCAAACGCTTAAAATAATCATAAACCCTAAAGAGTGAGAAAATAATGTTGAAGCATTCAAAGATGGCCATATTAGTACATATGCTAAAATGATAAAACATGCTAAAAATACTTCATAAATCTTCTTCTCACGAACCATAGGACCAAATGACACCAAATCTGTAATGTAGGCCCATGGTACATGTCTTAATTTAGTTTGGTCAAAAGGGATTGGTCAATCAGATTTTATGTGTCCATTTAATCCACTGTAAATCTACTCCACAGTGGCCTATCAACTTGAAACTTGTCATCGCTACACAATGAAGTTTGTGTTGCATGTACAGTTGAAGTCGGAAGTTTACATACACTTAGGTTGGAGTCATTAAAACTCGTTTTTCAAACACTCCACAAATTTCTTGTTAACAAACTATAGTTTTGGCAACTCGGTTAGGACATCTACTTTATGCATGACACAATTAAGTTTTCCAAAAATTGTTTACAGACAGATTATTTCACTTATAATTCACTGTGTCACAATTCCAGTGGGTCAGAAGTTTACGTACACTAAGTTGACTGTGCCTTTAAACAGCTTGGAAAATTCCAGAAAATGATGTCATGGCTTTAGAAGCTTCTGATAGGCTAATTGACATCATTTGAGTTAATTGGAGGTGTACCTGTGGATGTATTTCAAGGCCTACCTTCAAACTCAGTGCCTCTTTGCTTAGCATCATGGGAAAATCAAAATAAATCAGCCAAGAAATTTGTAGACCTTCACAAGTCTGGTTCATCCTTGGGAGCAATTTCCAAACGCCTGAAGGTACCACGTTCATCTGTACAAACAATAGTACGCAAGTATGAACACCATGGGACCACGCAGCCGTCATACCGCTCAGGAAGGAGACGCGTTCTGTCTCCTAGAGATGAACGTACTTTGGTGCGAAAAGTGCAAATCAATCCCAGAACAACAGCAAAGGACCTTGTGAATATGCTGGAGGAAACAGGTACAAAAGTATCTATATCCACAGTAAAACGAGTCCTATATCGACATAACCTGAAAGGCCGCTCAGCAAGGAAGAAGCCACTGCTCCAAAACCATCATAAAAAAGCCAGAATACGGTTTGCAACTGCACATGGGGACAAAGATCGTACTTTTTGGAGAAATGTCCTCTGGTCTGATGAAACAGAAATAGAACTGTTTGGCCATAATTACCATCATTGTGTTTGGAGGAAAAAGGGGGTTGCTTGCAAGCCGAAGAAGACCATCCCAACCGTGAAGCACGGGGGTGGCAGCATCATGCTGTGGGGTGCTTTGCTGCAGGAGGGACTGGTGCACTTCACAAAATAGATGGCAAATGGGTCTTCCAAATGGACAATGATCCCAAGCATACTTCCAAAGTTGTGGCAAAATGGCTTAAGG